GGCTTGGAGTGTCCCAAGGCTTCATTCTGTCGTTTCTAGGGGCTACAAAACGCCCCAAGTGCCTCTGGCTGTTCTCAGGGGATTAGAGAGCTGACCCGGCTTTTCCCTCTCTTTCACGGTCACGAGTGCCATAGGGTACAGCACAACTGTGTTTAGCAGGTGAATTGTCCCGAGCCAGCATCCACAATTCACCTTTATGCCAAAGATTTTCAACGTTCAAACCATAACAATAGTTTTACAGTAATCCTTGTTCTTCACAGTGGTGGTATAGTTTTGCAGAGAACTCATCTTGTTTGTTTTTCCACAGGGAAACACATCAGCTTGGTCCTATTGATTTTGCTGTTAACATGAGAAACATGTTGCCTGTGATATGCTCTTCTACAGAGGGTGAAATATTTTGCTGTGTCTTTGTATTGCTATCTGAAATGGATACATAGGTTGTAGCGGACAGGGACCTGGGGGTCCTGGTGGCCAGCAGGATGACAATGAGCCAGCACTGTGCCCTTGTGGCCAAGAAGGCCAATGGCATCCTGGGGTGTATCAGAAGGGGGGTGGTCAGTAGGTCGAGAGAGGTTCTCCTCCCCCTCTACTCTGCCCTGGTGAGACCGCATCTGGAATATTGTGTCCAGTTCTGGGCCCCTCAGTTCAAGAGGGACAGGGAACTGCTGGAGAGAGTCCAGCGCAGAGCCACAAAGATGATTAAGGGAATGGAGCATCTCCCTGCTGAGGAAAGGCTGAGGGAGCTGGGTCTCTTTAGCCTGGAAAAGAGGAGACTGAGGGGTGACCTAATTAATGTTTATAAATACATGAAGGGTGAGTGTCAGGAGGATGGAGCCAGGCTCTTCTCTGTGACATCCAGTGATAGGACAAGGGGCAATGGGTTCAAGCTGGAACATAGGAGGTTCCACTGGAATATGAGAAAAAACTTCTTCACAGTGAGGGTGACAGAGCACTGGAACAGGCTGCCCAGAGAGGGTGTGGAGTCTCCTTCTCTGGAGACATTCAAAGCCCGCCTGGATGCGTTCCTGTGGGATCTGATCTGGGTGTTCCTGCTCCGGCAGGAGGATTGGACTAGATGATCTTTCGAGGTCCCTTCCAATCTCTAACATTCTGTGATTCTGTGTTTAAGATGTCAAAACAAACAGCGAACTATCACAGAGGAGTTTCACAAAATTTAAACATTACATTTTGAAGTAGACTTTTTGCAAAGTTGGGTTTAAGCATTTTTGTGCCTGTTCTAGTGTGGGCACATCCTGGGCTGCGTTATGAGGAGTGTAGCTAGCAGAAGGGATCTTTGATCTATATTTGGCACTTGTAAGACTACATCTGAAGTACTGTGTCTCATTTGGGGCTCACCAGTACAAGGAAGCCATCTGACATGCTGGCGTGGTTCCACTGGAGGCCACCAGACTGGCAAAGGGGCCAGAGCACATGACACAGGAGAACAGGCTGATGGAGCAGGATGGGTTCAGCCTCACAGAGAGAAGGCTGAGGGGAAATACTGTTGCAATCTGTGACTATGTGGTTGGAGGACACAGAGAACATGGAGCCAGATGCTTCTTGGAGGAGAATAGTAGGGCAAGGGGGAACAGGTACAAGCGGGACCATGGAAAAATCCACTTTTGTACGATGAGAGTGGTCAAATACTGAAAGAGGTTACACAGGGAGGCTGTAATCTTTTCAGCTTTGGAAACATTCAGGAACCCACTGGACATGTCCCAGTGTAACCTGATCTAATTAGATCTGTTTTGAGCAAGGGGTTTGATTAGGTGACCTCTGGAGGTGACTGCCAGCCTAAATTACTCTACGATTCTGTATGATGGTTTCAGTTTTGTTTCTGATTTCCATCACGTTTTGGTTGGGTTCGCCAGCACTCCTGGCTTTTTTACAAAAGTTTGTTCCGAGTCATTGAGATCTGATGTCCATCTTTTAACAGAATAGCTCATGTGTTGGTTCTTGATACCTGGAGAATACACCTTTTGGCACGGGAGAGAATAATGCGCTTAGGGATGCAGGCTCTTCCTCCGTGCTGTGTATGAGTGTGGTTAACAGCCCTTTCTTTCTGTTGTTGGAGGCCACACTGGTATGTTTTTAAGCTATACCTAAGTTATTTGCTTGTACTCTGATGTTAAACTTACTATGCTTTACCTCCAGGTAGCTTTTAGTCAGACTGTACAGAGAGAAAGAAGGATAATTTCACATGCTTGCTTGGGTTGAAAATAATGATTCCTGTGTTTTGTCTTCAACCAGGAAATAAGGGCTGAGATCAGAAATCAGTGTTGTGAAGATTCTGGGCAGCATCCTGGCAGCATCCTGGCATTCACGTCTCTGATTTCCCACCTTTTTTAATATTTTACTTACACTACGATACACAAAGGTTAAAGAAAAATGAATAATAAATGTGGCACTGAACAGAAAACTTCTGAAATTAATTGTTACTAGGATTAATCTGGATGGGGAGACAATATGCTGACTGTAAAACTTTGAGATTAATTTTCAGTAAAGTTGCAATCTAGCCTTATGTCTATATTAAGAATGAAAGCTGCTGCTCTGTTGGCATCATAGAGTAATTCAGGTCAGAAGAGATCTATGGAGTTCACCCCCTGACTCAGATAAGGTCTGCTTAGATCAGATTGCTCAGGGTCGTGTCTGCTAGAGTTCTGAGTAGCTCCAAAGATGCCTCTTCAGGCAACTTTTTCCAGTGTTTGACCTCTCTGATGGAGAAAAAGTTCTTGTCAGAATTCCCTCTGTTCCAGCTTGTGTTTGTTATCTCTTGGCATCTCACCATGCACTGTATCTCGTGTGTCATCAGTAACCAACTCACCCTCTTGCTGTTGCAGTAGGAGCAATAGTAATTACCGCTAAGTTGCATGAATATGTTCTAAATTAAAAACTTGCATGTTTTTTATCTTTTCGACAGTGATATTTTCTGAATATTTGGACAAGTAGCTGTTTGGTTATGAGATGGGAGAAGTGTGTGCATTTGGTGTTTTCCTGCAAATCCTTTCAATGAGAATAGAAGGAGAACACGAGAATTTTGATGGAAATAACCTTTCAGTGTTTCTTTAAAAACTGGCTTTGGAATCAGTAAGACATGGCCCATTGAAAAGATTCAGATCTTTATAGAAGATTTTAAAGAGGAAGATTTAATTTAAGAGTTATTATTTGGGGCCTGTCTAAACTCTTATGTGTTGTCAAAGCCCTCACACATATCACTTGAAATATGTTGCAAAATTGCTGTGGCGCTAAAAAGAAGAGTGAAAAAACTTCAATTCAAAGCTGCTGCTCACCAAAAATGCTCAGCAGTGCAGTTAGCCTTGTCAGATCGATGGGAACTTTCCTCTTGCAGATCTTAGAAGTTTTCTTGTTTTTTGTTTAATTTTCTTTTCTTTTTTTTTTTAAGTTCTTTAACTCCAGACTTACAGAGCTGTAAACCCCAGTCCTTGCATACTTTTAGAATCCAGTTGATCAGTTAGGTTTTCATGTTAATTTGCAGCTTGCTTGGAGGCTTTGTACTTCTGTGGTGACTTTTACGTAGCTTAGCTTCATGCTTCCTGAAATGTTTCTCAGTATTATTTCTTTCTTCCATAGTAAGCGATGGATTGGAGGTGAGGCCAAAATACAATGGGATTCTCCACTGTATGACCACTGTCTGGAAGCATGAAGGACTACGAGGCTTATATCAAGGGGTAACCCCAAATATGTTGGGAGCAGGGGCTTCCTGGGGACTTTACTTCTTCTTGTAAGTAGAACTGTGAAGTGTGTCATATCCTGTGCAATGTAACGCTCAGATATACACTGCATCTTCTTTGGGGGGGTATAAAAATGTGCTAAGTGTTTGATAAACTTGTGGATCTTTTAGTAAGTCCAGGTCTGTTAGCCTTTATTATGTTTTGCTGTTTTGGAATTTAAGCGATTTGAGTCAGAGACCTGTTATTTTGTCAAGTACAGTGCATTCCCTTGGTGCTGAGAAAATACTAAGGAACTTGAGAGATGATTACATCATTCATGAAGAATACTCTCAAAGTGCCAATGCACTATGCTTAAAACCTCACAAAAATAAAAACCTAAACTGACATGTTAAGAATTAAAGAATATGATAAAGTTTCCTGCTAAAGCTAAATGTTTAACTGATTTTTAGTAATTTTAGTGATAGTTGGGTCTTTCATCATTCTTGTGAGTTGATGGGCTTTGCTAATAACGCCCTTTTTTAATACTCAATCTTTTCTACTTTATTAGCTGTGTAACTGTGATTTACTGTTGATCCCTATTAATTGAACACTTTAGGGAGTAGTTCATTGGTATGCCTATCCAATCCTCACGTGTCAGTTTTCCAGACTGTTATTGTTGGACTGCAGTCCTCAAGCTTTGCTATAGGTTCCTATTGTCAATTCAGCTCCTGTTGACCGTTTCTCAATCCACAAAGACTGGAAACTGGATCAAGAGAAGAACGTTCAGTGTATTTCTGAGCTGGTAGATCGATACCTGTCGTTGTTGCTCTCAATAAAAAGATAGCTTGCTTAAATACCTCTTTTCAAAGGTTGTGTGTCATCTGATGTGTCCTGTGTTCTTAAGTGACTTGTTTGTGGTTTTTTTAGTGATATAGTTTTGTTTTCACCTTTACCAAAATATATTTTACATTTTCCAGTTACAATGCCATCAAAGCTTACAAGAAGGAAGGGAAGCTGGACAGGCTCAGTGCAACCGAACACCTAGTGTCAGCTGCAGAGGCCGGTGAGTTTAAGTGCAAAGAAGATTAATGTTTGCTTCTAGCGTTTTCCCTGCCTCTGTGTGTCCGTGCTGCTTTTTCTTACAGGTGGCAAGTGTTAAGAGTTCAAGTCTAAATGCAATCATTTATTGTCTGTAAAGAAATTAATGATGTTTAAGATGAATGGTTGGATCACTGTGGTCTTTTTGGTTTTGCTGAGAAGTAGCAGTTGTCAGAATACCTTCTGACCTTGTTTTCATTGTGTAGAAGCATTTTCCATATTTAGTACTATAATGAGTCCCAAAATACAACTATGAATCTGTTGTCCTCAGCTTGTTAACTCATTAAATGTTTAACTCTTAGACCTGGAAAAGAGAAGGCCTGTTGAAGTTAATAAATAAGTGAATTGGTCGTTGGTCCATGAAAATCTTTCTCTATGGTCCAAGTTTTCTTAGAAACTAAAGATCCGAAATAAAACTACAACTTCTATCAGCAAGACTTTTAATATGTTGTTGCTAACATATGTTCTTGTCTCTGTGTTGTATTTACTCTAGGCAATTGAGAAGACTTTTTAGTAGGCTGTTGAAGCATTCATTTAATGTTGAAATATATGGCATATTGTTTGATGTGAAAAATAGTAACTGGTTATTTTACAACTGTATTTTCAATAACCTATAAAACCACAACAGGTTCCTTCAATTAACCTGTCAAGATGATTAAGGAATTTTCTCATGACTGAGGAGTTAATTAAATTTTGAACAATCATATACCTGAAGAATAATTCAGATAATCAGAAGTAGATTAGGAAGTTGCTTATGTTTCCTGTCTACTACAGGTTACACTACTGTCTGTGGAAAGGTGAGGCAAAAAAGGGTATATACTAATAGGCAAAAAGTCCTATGCTCTACAGAAGTACTCCCAGCAGGTGTAGGTTGGACTTGCCTTAAAGGTGAGCTTTAAAGGCAGAGAGAGGGAATGATGGTTGGCATAAACTTCACCTGTTTGAAGTTATGAGTACTCTTGTTGGCTAGGTAGTTTTGTCATTTTAGAAGCCTGTGTTACACTGGACTGAATGACCAGGGACGAGCGTTGGAGTTGGCATAACAATCAGTCTAACTTCCATCTGTTCTCAGGAGCCATGACTCTCTGTATTACAAACCCAATATGGGTAACGAAGACACGACTTGTGCTACAGTATAATGCTGGTGTTGATCCATCAAAGCGGCAATACAGAGGAATGTTTGATGCTTTTATAAAGATATACAAGATGGAGGGCATACGTGGCTTATATAAGGTAATAAAATGTAAGAAAAATTCCAGGATTGGCTGGCACCACTCAGTAGCATGGTGAGACTTGTAAATACTCGTCTACAAAAAAAAAAACCACAAGTAATTTTTTGTATTAGCTCATTTACTTTTATTCTGTGAGTCTTCTTTCCCACTAAAGAACTGCAGTGAAAAGGCTTCATCAGAAGAAAAACTTATGCTGTTGAAATGTAGGAAATACTGAAGAATAGAGTGTAAGCTTTATGGCTAAGCCATCTCCTATTGGTTGATAATGCTGACATGAGAGTAAACTACAAGCTAATTTTTAATTTTTTGGAGTCTTCTGATAATCAGAATTTGGATAAGGAGGGCAGCAATAGCATAATCTGTCTTGCTACTAGTCCTTTTTTCTGTTTCATCCCTTATCTCTGTCTTTCTGACATCTTGTGGAACATAACGTATGACTAAAGTGGTTGATAATTTTTTCTTCCACAATGGACGGTTTCACAACTGCTCGTTTGCCCTCTAGTTATTGAGGTCTGTAATCTGTCATCTCTAGATCCATAAAGGACTTCTAAATACGGTCTACGTATGTGTGGGTTTTTTGTTTCCCTTAATTTAGGGAAACAGATGGCAACTGGATTTGGACTTTTTGCCTCCTCCTTTCTTCAGGCCATGACATCAAGATGCATCCATCAATGCCTGGAAGGTGTGAAGAAACCTATTTTAGTTCAGTCTGGCTCTTCTCCTGCAAGTAATGCTATAGCAAGAACACTATCTCTTAGGAATTGTCCTGATTACTGAACATTAACTTCTTTCATTTGCAGTGAAAAATATAATCCTTCTGATGCTGAAAGGCTAGTATGCTACGTAGCCGTGCATGCCGAATTCTGACAGCAGGAACAAGGCACCTTACTTATTTCTAAATGGAAATAGTCAGGATTCAGGATTTCTGATTCTCCTGGCTGGATGCCTGCTCTTTTCCATGTAGACACATTCTAATTTCTTGCATCTGTTAGGGTTTAAGATGTCCTTCCATTGAGTTACTTTTCAGATTATTCATGCATGTGGCATGTGTTGCCTTTGGCACTAGACACTTCTTTGTAGTGTTAATCTGCAAGTGGGGAACTAAACCAGGTACTTCCTTTGAAAGAGCTAATTGCTTGCTTAAATCTGCAAAGAAGGTGACCTAGATAGGTCCTGAGTGACCTACATAACTATGCACACTGAGCAACCTTCATTTGACCATCAGGATTTTCTCAACCTTCTCTATACTGGGGAAAAAGGCACCTCTTCAGGTGGCTCTTTGACTTGTCCATGCTTCAGCCTTCCTCCATTTTCTGTTTTTGGGGGAGTTTTCTTTTTTTCTCACTTTATTTGAAATTTGACAGCTGAAATTCTGTTAGTTGCCCTGGGTTGCAGGAGCTGTAGTGCACATGAATATCTTCTTTTTCCTCATAATCTTCATTTCAGATAGAGTTCCTTATAGCAAATAAGGGGATCTCAGAGAATACCACCACAAATTAGAAATAAAATCTGGAAGTAGTTTCTTTCTGATTCATTTGAGATGAGTCTTCTAAAGGATGGTATTTCTGTCCAAGCAATTCATATCTTGCTGTCACTGGTCTGAGCAATTCCTTTCAGTCCTTTGGGGCACAAGACTAGTAATGTCAGGATGCATCGATCTTGCTAGCTGGGATCAAAGCTGTCTTCATTAGCTCTGTTAGGTATTGTTCGTTCATTAAACTATAATTTATCTGACACTGGGTTCCTCAATACCTTGTTCTTGTTGAACTTGGCCTGGTTTTGAAAAGACAGGAGACCTTCCTTCCCTGATTATCCCAGTAGCCTAGTCAGTGATCTTCCTCACCCTCCATCCGTCAGGCTTTGTCCTTTGTTCTGCTGCACACCAGACTGAGGAAGGAAACAGCTTGGGGTTATGCAATTTGAACAAGCCTATGGATCTCTTGGAGGTCTGAGCTCTAAGAATTACTTTGCCATGAAGTTGAATGTTACACAACCATCTCCATGTTAAGAGTGCTGTATGGTTCTTTTCGAGTGTAAAGCAGGAGAGACCAAACATTGTAAAATAATAATAGGATTGTAGGAGTTGGCACTTTCAGAAAAACATACCTCTGAGCTCTTGGGAAACTGTTAGATGTCTAGTCTAGAGTGACTGACTGCTAAAACATAAATCAAGAATGCAGCTAACATTCTTCCTGGCCTCCATGCTTCTGTATTTGTATTTTCAGTTTCATTCTCTTTCAGTGATGATGTAGAGGTAGCAATTAGAAATAAAGCAATGCTTAATACACAGCAGTGGTGTAAAGAGGGAGTGCAGAAAATTTAAGGAGATTAAAGGAAGATGTAGAGTCATCAAGACTGAAAATAATAATGCAGTATGCTAACAACAGCAACAAAAATCCTAGCAGTAATGTGTGCTTGTTTCCAAGTGAAACAGATACATTGGACACTTCTGTATTGCCATTTCACCTTTGGTAGGCAAGATTCTCTACTCTGAGGATGAAGTATTTTTTCCAGTCCATTAATGTCTAAGGCATTTAACTCTTTATTTTGCTATGCTTTTGCTTATGCTATTTTCCTACTTCTTGCAAATGTGAAGTTTGTAAGCTAAGTGACTTTCTGTGTATTCGTACTTGCCTATAGCAAAATCCACTGAGATTTGACCATCTTGACTTGAACTTTAGTCCCAGGTTCTACAGAGAGACAGAAGCACAAGCAACTTTCACATAAAAGATGGTATAATGTTTTGCCATGAAGGAATCGAGATGCATAGGGAGATATGGCGTGCTTCCAGTGTCTTTCTGCACAAGTTGTCAGAGCAGGGCACTTTGGCACACTGACAACCCAAATTAAGACAACACTAAACAGATTACAATGGGAATCTGCTGCATTCTTTTGAAACTTATAGCAGAGGCTGCTCTGGCGTGAGCTCTCTCAAACACTTCAGGCAGCGATACCAGTGCTGTATCACCAAATGAAGCTTGTTCCCTTCTTTACTAAGAACCATAGGCTTTCCACTTTATACATTTGCCTACGTTCCTTTTCATCCTGATGGGCAACCTTTGAAATGCTAACCAAAGGAACATTTTTCTCTTGTCCCGGATCTTTGGCACTTACGGCTGTGTAAGCCAACTTTAAAATACAATTTTTTCCCATTGCCTACTATTCAGAATTATATACTTTACCATTTAAAATTTCCAATTACATATTTGATTCTGTCTATTGTTCTAATCCTCCAAAAGAGGATTCAAACAGGACTTCTTTGAGCAACCATTGATCCTGTCAAGCCCTCATGGCAAAAATTTTCTAAAGATATGTTTGAATATTAAAGTAAAAAAACTAGAAAGTTCACAAAGTTAAATGATTTTAAAAATTGTCTTCACAGTCATATTGCAGATGAAAAATAAATATCAAATTTTGTGGCAAGAAATATTTTTGTGTAAAATTGTAAGAATAAGAAAATAGAGTAGGAATATTTCAGAAATGTCTTCAGCCAAGATATTTCATTACCATGAAGAAGTTGGTTTTGCTTTGAAATATTTTTTCTGTAAGAACACATTGGTTTGTATGATCAATAGAAGCCTGAGTCAGCTCTTATTTTACTGAGGCGCACTGGCCAGCAGTTGCCTTCCTCCCTTCTTGCATGTTTTAATATTGTCTCAATGTTAAAAGTCCTTCAGTCTTTGGAAGCTTTCCCCATCAGCACAAGACTTGGTGCATGCTGGTACTCATTTAGCGAGTATCGTCAGTAGATGCTTGAGGACTCTTGAGTGCAAGTAACCCAAATCTGATGGCTTAAATTTAAGAGTCTTAAATGTTGTTTAACATTCTTCTTTTGTTGGTGGGGAAAATAGTACCTCATTCTCCCATGATACAAATACATCATTCTAATTCTTTCCAAATAGGGAACAATTATTTCCTCTGTCTTCGTGGGCAAATGTTTGCGAAGATTTTCCCTACTATCACTATACATGAATTTCATACTGTTCCTTGTTCTGCTGATCCAGATAATTTTTTCTTTGATATTTTCAATAATTTTCTTTTTCTTTGTTCCTCCTCTTCTGTTTTTATATTACTGGTTAGTTTGCTTTTCTGATCCAGGATTGCTGAAGAACAAAGTTGTCTTTTTCCCTCTGTTGTTGCCCTTTGGCTTCAAACTTAATTCTATGGTTATGCTTACAGTTGACAAAATGTAGATGTTTGGTTTAATTCCACTTGTCCTCATTTGGGGAGGTGTTTTTTCTGGGACTTTAGTTAATGCAGTTAGTCAGTTTATGGTCACTGATGTTTAGTTCATGACCATTATTTTCTCCTGTGAGAAAAAATACATCCTCATTTATAGAAGAGATCCTATAAATCACTTCCTGAATGTCTGTAATATCATAACCTTAAGAAATCTATAGCATGCAGAGAGCTAATCTCTGAAGTGGTAGAAGCTCTGTGCAATTTTTATGCCTGCTGTTGTTTTAGTTTGGTTTTTTTTTTCTGCAAGTTAGCAGTTTGTGAAGTGATTTATTGTTTTGTCCTGTTACACTATAGACATTCCAATGGACTCCTGCCAGGATCCCTTTTCTTTTTCTTCTCCTTTTCCAGGCTCTTAGTAGTATACTGATAAGTCTTTATTCAACATTTTGGGCTTCCAAGATAGTCTTAATACAGAGTTTTATGTCTGGACACATCTTCTAATTCCTCTGTCTTACCAGAATGGATCATGGGAAATAAAATAAAACTGTTCAATACTAGTATTTTTTGAGAAATTTTGGTTCTTTGAGTCCTTTTACCCACATTTTGATCACTTACTCCATTATAATTGTCCCTTTGCAACAGTTTCCAGAAAGCTTTTTGCTCCTTTAAATCCTTTCTGGTCAAGATTAATTCCCTATTTATTTGTATTTTTCCAGTGTAAGTGACCAACTCTTCAAAAAGAGAATTAGTGCTTCTCAGAACCCGTGCGTCTGTCAGCCCATTTCCAGCTGAGCTAGTCCTGCTCCTGAAGGAACTCCTGCCATCTCTTTCTTGTAGAGACATTTCAGAAAATACCTTTTTTCCCCCTTCACTTCAACTTTTTTGAAAGGTTTCTGTATATTTTCATATTATACTCGTACTGTTTATTACTGCCTCTTACAAATGTGGAACATTTCCCAGATTGCTTTGGTCGCCTCTGCTGGGCTGCCTTGGGATGAGGAATGGACTCAAGCTTATCCGAATCTTAGATTCTTTTCTTTCGTGTGAAAGGCTGCTATAAGGTATATCACAACTATACATTTATATACAGGCACACATGTACATACCTGTCTCCAGGACTTGATCACAAGTTTGTACCGCTGCTCCTGTCGGTCCTCCTCACTGAAGTGTTGCCAGCTTCTGTCATTGCCTTCGCAGTCTCGGGTGGGAACTAAACAGCTTAGTACCAGTCCCTGGAAGGAGGCAGGCACCGAGCAGCCCCTCTGGAAGACTGCTGTTTGATTTGTATTCTTACAATCCTGATCTAGGTTACCAGACCTGTGCTTGTGCTCTGTGAGGTGGAGTCCCTAGGCCACCTGTTTTATCTTGCTCACTCACGAGGTGTCTTTAACCTGTATGTCATTTGGAGAAAATTAACAATTATTACACTTTAGTCTGATGCCTGCTAGTAAGAGTACCAACCCAGAATGGTCTGTGAGTCATACTGCCCAGTAAATGTGTGCCATCACGATTTCTACATGGTGGACATACGTATGTCTGTGAGCTGATCTCTTTCAAGTTTTGTAGTTTTGTGGCTTACTATTTAACCTGGGTTTATTCCTGTGTTTTAGGGATTTGTGCCTGGTCTATTTGGAACTTCACATGGAGCACTTCAGTTCATGGCATATGAGGATTTGAAACTGAGATACAACAAGTATAGAAACAGAGTATCGGATACAAAATTGGTGAGGTTATTGAGAAAAAAATGTGTTGTGGCATGTGAACAAGTGGAAATTTATCCCATTTGTCTACATCATAGAATAGCCAAATTTACAAAGTATTGATACATTAATTGGAATGTAGAATATATAGCAGGAAATAATGCTTTTTCACTTTTTAGAAACAGGCAACTGGTTAGTGCTGGGTTTTTGTAGGACTTTCGGAAAAAATGTTTCACTTGGTAGGAATGAGAGGGCGCAACACACATTTTACAGTGAGTTACCTGTAGCACTGTATATAGTAAACATTGCTATTTTTTAAAATGTGGGTATTCTAGAGGGAAAAAAAAAATCTTACTATTGTTTAGTTCGGCATCTAAAAATCAAAGAAGATTTTGGAAAATTAGCTAATTTATTCCATAGTTAAGGCAAGCCTGGTAATTTTTGTTGTTTTTAGAACACTGTGGAATACATAACGATGGCAGCTGTATCCAAAATATTCGCTGTGTCAGCAACATATCCCTATCAAGTTGTGCGAGCTCGTCTTCAAGATCAGCATAATACATATTCAGGTGTGGTTGATGTGATCCAGAGGACATGGAGGTAGGCATGCAGGATTAAAAGCGTACATCTCGGAAAGTGTATCTTACAGGATCAGAATTACGTTTACTGGCTTCCATGCTGCTGACTTGCAGAACCAGCGCAGCTCAGAGCAAATAAAATGTTAGCTGTACAAAGTTCACTATTGACAATAGTCGAAGGACAGAGGAAGAGATAGGAGAGAGTCAGCGCTGGCCTGCAGACTTACATTCTTTATTCTGTCTTCCTTCTCCCTTCCCCAACAAATTTCACTTGCAGGGTAAAAAATAACATTGAGTTGGCTGTTTTGGGGCTCTTAAACAATGAAGTCTCACTTGAACTGCTTTAGATTATCACATACGACAGGAGCGTTGTGCTGCTGGGAGTTGTGGCTAATCCAAATTCCTGGCAGGAGGAAGTGAGCTAGCCAGAGCTGTTTGTACTGCTGTCCCTGGCTTACCCTGGGGTCTGATTACATTTGTAGTCTAGTCCCAGCTTCCCATAGGACCTTTAGAGAACTGTTCCCTCACACCAATGCGTATCTTCTCACAAACCCTCTTCCCTCAGCTCTACGGGGCATGTGAGTGTTCTCACACAGAACTGTAGTTACTAAGATTGGCCACCTTTGCAGTATTGCGACCAATATTAATCTTGCTTTGGACAACATTTCTAGGTTGCAGCATATTGCTAGAGAGACGTGGATGGAGTCAGCTAACTCCTGGGTATTAAGAGGGGCCGCCTGAATGCGTGGATGAGGCTGTGTTGTTCCAGGACCGCCTCTGGCTCAGAGGCAGTACAAGCATTTTGACGGAAGGCAATTCAGCGTGAAAATAGCTGTGATGTCTCAGTGCTGTGCCCTTCAGTGATGCAGTGTGCAGGAAGGCTTATTAGTTCTGATAATGTGTGGATATATCCAGCCATTCTGGGGCCACTACTGCACTGATTGTGAAAGATGCAACCTAGAGCCCTAGGAATGGTAGGGTAGACCACACCCAAGCCCTTTCCACTATCTGTGTTAACTGTAATCTTCACTCCAGGTGTCCTGGGCCCTTATGAAGCTGGAAAATAGGGAGCTGGGATTAACAGTCTTTGAAACTTTTTAACAGCCCTAACACGAATGCTCTGGTTCAAATTGGGAGAAGTTAGATTCTCATTTATTGACCAGGGAATCAAAATTCTGGAGGAGATGCTTTAATTCTCTGAAAATAAATGCTGACTTTCCTTAGTTATGTTGAACCCCAGTCAGTAGCTGTTACATGACCAAAAACCACCAAGCCTTTCCGCCCTGCTGGCTTCAGTGAGATTAAATATGTAAATGCCTTTTGGAACAGGCTGTCGAAATTTTAAGTTATTTTAACCAGTTTTTGTGGCATAAAGAAAGACAGTAAATTACCTCCTACTTAAAACAAAAAAAAAAAACACCACAAAAAACCACCTAAACCCTAGGCTAAATAACTGACCTACAGAATACTATTTCTATTAAAATAATAATACGATTATATGATAATAATAATAATATGATTTCTATTAAAATTCATTAATTAAAACTAAATATTTTTCTGTGTCTTTAAAGGAAAGAAGGAATTCATGGCTTTTACAAAGGAATTATCCCGAATGTGATCAGAGTGACTCCTGCCTGCTGTATTACCTTTGTCGTTTATGAAAATGTGTCTGGCTTTTTACTTGGTTTTAGAAAAGAAAATAATTAAAGGTATGAGCTTGTGTTTATAAGGAATCTATCCTTTATTTTTTTATATTTATGATCTGGGAGAGACTCAGTTCAGCAGTCTTTTTTGACACTGTGAATTGATCTAGTATTTTCAGGAAAGAACCTGGAGATAGTAAAACCCTGACAACATCTCTTCCGTTGAGTGTTCCTGCGTTGCTACCTTCCTCTCTGAATCAGCTGTGTCTGCTTGAAACAGATCTCTGCAACTGTGAAATAATAGCACTGTGGCTGGGTGAAGGCAGCTGTGCATAATTCAGTCCATCCTGGCCTGCCTGGAATAACGGACTAATCTGCTTTGACAAGTCTCAAGATAACAGTTGGTCAGATTCTACTCCTACAGAAGTGGAAAACTTCATATAAAAACAACTCTGGGGTCTGTCAGAACTTTCTTAAATTTTTCTTTGAGTCTCATGAAGAAAGTATGTATGTAGTTGTTTACAGCAATGTCTTCTGAATCACCTCTTGCGTTATTCGTCAGATTTTAGGATATGGAATGTTCCAAATTCCATTGCTCATCCAACACAAAAATGCTGTCTCGGTGGGGTGCAGTTTGGAAACTCTAATTTTGTAAAACAGCTGTCCATTCCTGGGTTTGAATAATTGCCAGTCTGATGAAACCCAGTTCTTGTTTCATACCAGGACAGACTTGCGTTGTGGTTTTCGGCTTGCTTTAGCACCAGACCAAAGTGTATGTTGTGTGCATTGCTGGCCACTTACTTAATTCATTTTCTCTCTCTTCCCTGCCCTCTCTCTCACTCTCTGTGTGAGATTCTGTCTCCATTACTGATACATCTGACCAAATGCTAAATGCGTATTTGAAAGTAGGCTTACATTTTTTAAATTAAGATTTTTTTTTTCTTGTAATCCCATAGTGATGCAGTTTTCAAACCACTGTAATAATAAATATGACCATGCTTATTTTCAGTGTTATTCTCTGGGAAAAAAAAAAATCCATAAGTAGTCAAGAAAATATTGTGCACAGGGCTTTCTTTAAAAAAAACAAAATGATTCATTAATGTCTTCTGACTTGGTCAAAGGAAAGAACTGGAAGAATATATTGATTGCTAACTTAATGATAAACTAAATTACAGTAGATCTCAGTAAATTTGTGTTACAATAATGTATTATTATATTTATTTGCATTTCAATAATTGCTGCCAAGGATATGTACTGTTTTGAAATCTGGGTTTGTTGGATTTGCATTGTTTTTTTAGTTCTTCTTTAAGAAAATACATTACTGGCCATAACATCTGCTTTCTGCTGTTAGTAAGAAGGTAGTAAGAAGTATCTAGAAAGTATCACTTAACTAAGGAAGAAATAAGTTAGCAAAGATTGTTCCACAAGGGGGAAAATAATCAGTTTAAGGAGCGGAGGATACAGCAAAACACCTGAATAACCACCTACTGAAGTCTCCTCTTTCATAGAAGGCTAACTTAAAGCAGAAATACATTTTTATAAAAAGGCTGTAACAGACTAGTGAAGTGGTTTCAATTTTAAAATCTGGAAGACAAAGAAACTGCTTGATATTTTGAATCTTAATTCAGCAATCCACTTGCTTGTTTCTGTTGATACGATTGCCACATACCACATCTCTGTGTGTACTTCATTAATATTGTATACTTTCACCTCCACGATCCCATCCCCTCTGCTGATAATCTCATCTGAAAAGGGCATGTGGCCACTATGGCTGCCTTTGGTTTTTATAAGACAGGCTCCAAGCATGTACACAATCAGTTACTGTATGTTAACTGACGTTCTGTGAATTCACAGCACAGCATAGCATAGCTTAGCTCATAGTAACTTGTTTGTGTGCAGATACCTTAAAACCCATCATCCAAGCCAAGGAAAACAGTACAGTTCTTCAGAGACTACATACCAGTTGTATCCTTTCCTGCCTTGCAGCAGTATTGCACATGAGCTTGCGCTTGGGAAAGCCTGGATCCCCTCTTAGCAGCAGGTGTGTTCCTCTGGCATTCTTAACAAAAGCCGCAGACAAGAGCTACCCATCTGAGAGACGCCTGGGGAAAATCTTATAACCTGTTCAGGGAAAAAAAACCCTGAGATTTAATCCTAAATAGTTGAAATAAGCTCCTTATCTCAGATTTAATGATTTTTCCCTTTAATTTCTGGGAAGAGTGTAGATTTCTGCATGTTGTACATGCTTTTTCTTTTATATTTTTATTTCGTTAATGTAAATTTGATTTTGTAATATAAACATGACTATTGTTTCCCTTTAGAATCTGTACCATTTTTTAAAATATTTGAATATATCACTTATTGTATTTGGAAGAAGATACGGAAAACACGGAGCTGATGCTGTGCTGGCATGATCAGTGTTGTTACTTGTCCAGTCTGGAGGCTGCAGGGAAATAGCTGTGACATCATTCTTTCACTTTCCCAGTACGCTTTCTGAAAGCCTTATTTCTATGTCTTCCAAACTATTTAATCTATCTAGCTTTTCATTAACACCAAAGTGATTGTATATAGCTGAAAGGCTAAATCCAGGAGAATTTTTTTATCAGAGCAATGAAATCAACTTTTGTAACTACAGTTACTTAGTATCTGCATGCTAGTAGTGGAGACCAATAATAGATGTTTGTACTGAAATCCAGTCTATCGAGAAGTGACAGAGGGAAGGAGAGCTGAGATACTCTGTTTTTACTTAGTTGGTCAGAACAAGGTATTTAACGCTTACCACATCGTCCAGGTCACAGTTAAGTCACAAGAAGTTTGTTGAGAGACGTAAAAGATGCTCTGCTGTTCCAGTCTTATTCTGTAGTCAGGTTCACAGGAGGAGATGTGATGTATGTTTTCCGAAGGCTGAAGCCCAGACCTGAGTTTACTTTCTTAGAACTTTCTATGAAGCCTTCTGAAAAAACTGTGTATCATAACACCATGTAATATACCTTAACCGGTTCGATGGTCAATAAAACAGCCTGGATTTTTTTTTTTTAAAAAGGTCTTATTTATTTGATATAAAAAGTTACAGTTAATTCTTGAAGTGGTGGTTGTATATTTTCATATACGTCAAACAAGGAATTAAAAAAAAATTAATGAACTTGGTTTTGATATTCATATTCTAAAATGATGATTATAAAAAGCCTCTGCAATGTGCAAAAAAGGCTAGAGAAAGACTACAGCTGCAAGAGTTTGGTGCCTTTCAACCAAATACTTGCATCCAACTCTATAGAAATAAATTCAGAATAAAATTGTATAAAATAAAAATGGGGAGAGATTATAAAAGGAAGGAAAGTTATTTTGGCAGTTCTTCAATGATGATTCGGGAGACTGAATTCCATCCAGTGGAAGCATCTCCCCGTGGATAATCTGAGCAAGTCCCGACCCAGATGGCGATATCCACCAAGCCAGCGTTGATCCCTTCACACAGACCTTCCACTGGTTAAAGAAAAAAATCAGGTTACCTCAACAGAAAATCACTTGGTATTTCACAACAGAATGTGGACACAAGGCCGTAAGAACAGCCGCTCCTTGCAGGCTCACGCTGTTCAGTTAAACCTGAATAGCATTTTTAGAAATAAAAACTATTACTTAGAGACGTGGCAACACAGGTTACAGAGGCGTGCGCTGCCTTTATCCGTGCTGCTGCTTGATGTCTGCTGCAGTACCTGAAGCAGATGACAATCCACAGGTTTACCTAAGTGGGAGGTATACCTGCATCTTTACATGTCTGAATTTACAAACTGGCAGCTGGGATATGGCTGCAACCCCATCCAGCCATCTTTTCAGCAGTGAAACACAACTAAAGCCCTGCAAAGGTGGCTGCCACCCTGTAATCTTCTCCACTCCTCATTCGCTGCTTCTGTATAAAGTTCCTCTTTTATTGCCCTTTTTTTCCCCCCACTAGCACCACCAGTTAGAGGTGGGTTAATGAAGACAGGTGAGTCCTACCCCTTGATGAGAAAAAACCTCTTATACCTATAGATGTTAGACTCCTGAAATAGTACAGGGAGAAAAATCTCCTTTTGCAAAGAGCTGGGCTGGTGGCATGGGAGTGCTTCAGCTGTGTTCAAAGCTGAGAACAAAACACAGCTTAAACCACTCATGTAATGTGGAGAGTATTCATAGCCAGAAGCCTGTTAAATTCATGCAATCCTTCGGAATTTAGAAATACTTCCCAGGGTGTAAGTATTGACCATCAGCAAGGAGACAGTGTAGCTTTGCCATGAGTCCCCTTTTCCTAGTCTCACCTCCTCTGATGTTGAATGACGTCACTAATTGGCTTTTTGCATAGCAACAGATAATTGTTCCTAGGTATTTCACTTTGGAGGTACTTCTGTGCCCCACCTAAGCATGACAGTAGAAATTCTAGGAGGAATAAGTTTTACTTTATGCAGAGATAATGTGCAAATATCAGTAAAACTAATACAAAAACGTCTCTGAATTCATGTTGCAGCAGAGATCAGAACTGTCTGGATAGAAACCTCTCCCATTTCTAAATTTCAGGATGTAAGTACCACGAAAAATATCCCAGTAATAAAGTCCCACTTCAGAAATAATTCTAGTACTGTTACTATTGATAGTTACCTGTGAGGAAGCAGAGTGACAGTAACTAGATTTGCTACTGGCTTCTACTCCATCTCTGTTCGTGCGGTCCTGGCATACATACCTGAGGAAGTTCGGTGTATATTAATAGTAGAATTCATCTCTGGGCTTCCTTGATCTAAATATATTATTGCTTCGATAGGAAGTGGCCCAGAACATTCTGCTCCATTAAAAGTAAAGTACCAGCGCTGACAACAGGCACTTTTGCACTTGAGCCGAAGTGATCCACTGAAAAGAACACGCAGGGCGCTGTTCGAGCGCATCTTTGTAAACGTGCATTCCTAAGAGGAGACAGAAATGGTTTGGAAATGTTTTCAGAGTGCTTTGGCAAATACCATCTGATGCAGAGATGTAAATCAGAAACAGCATCTCATAGGTTATCATGGAGAAGGGGGATTATGGAAACTCTGAATTTTATTTAGACACTACCTGCTGTTAAATTGGTAACCTAGTTACCTTCTCGGGTTTGTGGAAAGGGGTGTGAGCCATCTGAAAGCTGCGCTCAAATCCTCACATGAGAGGACAGTACAATTTCTGTCTCTGTTAACAGAAATTCTGGATTTAACAGTGCTCACAAGATTTGTCTGGGTTCAAAACAAACCAAAAAAACAAACAAAAAAAGTCTTAAACTCTGATAAAATCTCCACAACTGAATAAGAAAGATTTTTCCAGGTTTTTAACAGGTTGTTATTCTGCCTTCAAAATGCTGGGTATTGTGAAGGGAAAAAGGGACAGTTCTGCAAG